TGAAATAACACAATTCCTTCACACCAACTGCATGCATATGCTGCACACAATTCCTATTGCCTAGATCCAATCATTCTTCCTATCCACAGTGGAAATCCTGTGCTCATCAAGCAGTTATTCCCCATTTCCCACTCCCTCAATTCCCTGACAGCCATGATGTGAGAGCTACATCTATTCACTTATCTGTTCTCAGTTTTGCACACAAGTGTAATGGTGTAATCTGCAGCCTTTTGCAAGCAGCTTCTTTCTCATACAGTCACATGTTCATGGTTCATCTACATTAGATCACCTATCAACTCTATCAATTTCATGTTGGCTGAATCATAATCCATTGTAGGAACACACATGTCATTCACCCATGCACTACTGATAAACACATATATTATTTTCAACATCTTGCTAGAGTCTGAAACTTGTATGTCTTGGAGGATTTTTCTATGTCCATTATGCATCCATTCTTTACATTTTTTGTCTTAGAAAGTACTTGGTACTTGTATCCTTTGGTACAAGGATAGAAAAGTCTGTCCATGTACCATGATGAAGTGCTCCTTCCTCATAGCACTCAAATGCTTTAAAGGGTTCATCAATACTTGATCTTCCACCATCCATACATGTTTGCATCCCCTTTGGGAATATTTTGTGAATAATGCTGCCATGAAAATTGACAAACAGGTATCTGTTCAAACAGCTACATTTGAATCTTGAGGTATGAAAAGGAGACAGAATATCAGGTGCAAATGGTAATGCTGTGCTTGCCTTTCTGAGAGCCACTTATTACCTCCCCATGTGATTGCATCTTACAACTTCTCTCACCAAACAGTCCATATCTTTCAATTTTTCAAAAATCCCCCCTCAGGTATTATGTTCTGTTTTTATTTTTTCTGATTCATAACTACTCTAGAGATGTTGAGTGGGCTCACTGTGGTCTAGTCTGCCTTCATGTCACACCACACACTCTGTATTACATCTTTCCAGGATTCTTGGGCATTTCTTGGTCTTTCTTAAGAGAAGTTTCTGCTCAGGTCCTTTGCCTATTTTCAGAAAGCTTGTTTCTGTTTTGATGTAGTGTGCTAAGATGTCTTTATATATTTTGAGTTTAAGACCCTCATCAGACCTATGAATTACAAGTATCTTCTGCCATTATTAGATTTTATTTTTAACTCCCTCAAGAATGTTCTTTCAGGAAATACTTTTAGTTTTCCTGAGGTACAAATTGAATATTTTTCTTCTGCTGCTGTGCCTGTGGTGTCATTGAAAAACCATTGGCAAATCATACATCATGGGGTCTTGCCCCTGTGTTTTGTTACAAGACTGCCATGATTGGAACTCATAAGTCTCTGTTTTTGACTCATTGGAATCTACTTTTTTGGTAGTGTAAGAAGGTTCTAGCTTCAGCCTTTTGCCTGTGAATGTGTATTCAAATCCATTGCCTTTTTTTTTTTTAGAATTTATTTTTATGGCAGCTCTAGGTTCACAGCAAAACTGAATAAAGAATCACAGGTTTCCCATACACCTCCTGAACTCATACATACAGAGCTTTCCCCATTGTCACAATTCTCCACCAGAGCAATACATTCACATCAACTGAAGGTCATATATGGACACATTGAATGTCCATGGTTTACACTAAGGTTCACTTTTGGTGTTTGATACTCTGGACAAATACAAAGTGGCATGTGCATGTAACTGTACTATCACAGTCACTTCATTATCCTAAAACCTTCTGAGCTCTACCTGTTCATCATTCCCTGATATTGAACCCCTAGCAACCATGGACCTTTTCATTGCCTCCATCATTTGCCTTTCCAAGAATTTAATGGAATTTGAATATGCACTATGCAGCTTTCTCAGACTGTCTTCAGTTAGTTATATGCATTCAGGTTTCCTCTAGGGAGGAAGTCATTTGGCAAAGCAGATTGGTCACCACTTGGAACATCCACATCCAATGTTAGAGTACCTGGTTCAAGTCCTGTTTACTCTGACTTTGAGCCAGCTTCCTGCTAATGTGCAATCAGGAAAGGTGATGACTCAAATACTTGGGTCCCTGTCACCAATGTGGGAGACCTATATAGAATTCTTAGGTTTAGTCTAGCCCATCCGTGGTTGATGTTGATATTTGGGTGAGGAACCAGTAGATGGAAAATCTCCCATTTTTTCTCCCTCTCAAATAAAATGAAATAAATACAACAACTTTAAAAGGCCATCATCCTCTCAAAAATTCTTCTCCATATCTGTTAATGATGGGACAGCACACTCCCTGTAGTATTGAATAGCATTCAATTTTTGAGTACTCTATAGCTCATCACTTTTCCTCATTTTTTTCTCTATGAAATACTCTAAATCAATAATTTCACACACTGGTCTTAGAGTTTGCTGATTCTTCTGCTTGATCAGACCTATAGTTGTTCTCCCATTTTGATTTTTTTTTCAATTCAGTTATTGCATTGTTTAGCTCCAGGATATCTTTTTTGTTCCATTTTATAGTTTCTATCTCTCCTGATATTCTCATTTTGTTTTTGTATCATTGTCTTCCTTTTAATTGTCTCTGTTCTTTTGTGCCATACTGAATTTCTTTAAGAGTCATACTCTGAATTATTTTTCAAATAATTCACAGATATCCATTTCTTTAGGGTTGATATTGGTATTTCTTTTGATCATTTGGTTGAGATATGTTTTACTGTTTCTTCATCTGTTTTGCTGTTTTGTGCATATAATAAAAGTTACCTCTCTCAGTCTTTAGAGAAGTTTTTGGCTTTATAGAGGGAAAAATATCTTCACAATCAGCTGTTAGAAATCTTGAGGGCTCTAAGTCTTCTGTATGGGTAAATCATCTATACTTGGTGTGTCTACTTTCCGAGTTACAGAGGGTTGCTTGGTTCTTTTCTGGGAGCTTGTAGTCTGTTTCTCTCTCTGATATCCAGCATTAGTACTGTTGATTCTATATTAGCACAATTGACTGAATTCTTTTGTAGTCTGTGGCACTCAGGCATCCAAGATAATCAGTTCACTTAGTGCCCCAAGTCAGGTGAAACAGACCAGACCCTCAGGCAGCATCCCCACAAATCAGAAAATCAGATATGTATTCTACACTTCCACAGCCCTACCAAGACAGAAACTGTAACATGAATTTTCCTCCTGTTTTCAACTGAGCTGGCTTGGGGGAAAGGCTGATGTATTTGGAATGAAATGGCTTTCCCTGCTCATTACAGTGTTATTGTCTTGGGTTGTCTTGGCTTTGAGCTTGGCTGGGACACTGCAACATGACTAGTCTCTGAAGTTCTCACAAAGGCCTTTTGGACACTTTGCTGCTGTGAAGTAGCTGTTTCTGTAGGCAAATGAAGTTTGGGATTTCCTATTCTATGTTGCTTGCTTTGGATGCCCCCTGCCCTCTTTTTAAAAATTATGCAATCTATTGCTACTCCTTAATATTTTTTTTTAAATTTGTGTATGTTTGGTAGGAAGAGAGTGGAAAAGGAAAGAGGCACATAAAAATATATATCTTGCATCTGCTCATTCACTTCCCTAATGCTTGCAATGCCCAAAGCTGGGTCAGGTTAATGCCAGGAGCCAGAAACTCCATCCTGGTGCCCATGTGGGTGTCAGTAACCCAAGTGCTTGAATGATTGGTGCTTTCCATGGTACAGATTAGCAGGAAGTGGAAATCTTTGTGATACAGGATCAGATATTTAGACCATCTTCTGTTACTTTCCCAGGGACACTAACAGGGAGATAGATTAGTAGTGGAGCAGCCATGATTTGAACTAGCACTTATGGAATAAAGACATCACAGGTAGTGACTTAATGCATTGTGCCACAAGGCAGATCCCAGCATTTAAAACTCTTGATTAAGCTATTCTTTAAAAAAATTTAAATACTAGTATTAAACATTATGCTAATAGATTATAAATCTGAGTAGGAAATAACTTCCATAAAATATAATATAATATGAATTGAGAATTAGAAACTCAAAAAATTATTTTAAATTTTACTCTAAAATATTTGTTTGAAAGGGAGAGTTACAGAGAAAGAAGGACAGGTAGAGAAAGAAAGAAATCTTCCATCCACTGGTTCACTCCCCAAATATTTAATGGCTGGGCCTGGGCCACGCCAAGGCTAGAAATGTGAAACTCCACTCAGATGTCAGGGACACAAGCATCTGGATCATCTTCCACTGCTTTCCCAGGCTCATTAGCAGAAAATCAATCAGAAGCCAAGCAGCCGGGACCCAAACTTGTACTCCAATAAGTGATGCTGATGTGATAGGCAACTACTTAACATATTATGACACAGCAGCAGTCCCATCAAGTAGAAATCTCATGTATAGTAGGGATTTTCTTAAAGGCAGGCCTAAGACTTACAAATCAAGGGTGGTAAGGAAGGTCCTCATGTACCAAGGATGAGGGAATTACTGCTAAAACAAAATTTTTAATGTTCTTGGTAAAAGTTGTCTCCTCAGGTCTAGTACAGTGCTCAAAGGACAAGCATAGTCAAAAGGAAGATTCAGAACAGCCTTCTTAAGTCTATTCAAGAATAGTCTTTATCAGTCCCTTTATTTCCACCACTCCTCACCATCAGTAGTTATAACTCTTTTAACTTTCCCAGTCTATGGAGTCCTGGAAGGCAGAGAGATTTATACAGGGTCATATAACCTAAAAGAGGCAGCCTTATTGAAACACATCTCTGTATCCTTACATCTGAATCCTTGTTGAACCGAGGCTGATCCTGAAGTCTAAAAGTATGGGTAGTGTTGTGTAATTGTGTGTTATTATGTACATAACATGAGGTGCACGATGAGCAGCCCAGATGGAATTTGGGGAGATCTTTGCTGAAACAGCCTAGGGAAGTAGATGTCAAGAAGTTATTTTCTTGATAGCCTACTACAGAATATGCAGCTCTGGCAGTTGAATGTTGATGGTGACTGATTAAACATTTTTTAGCTATAAGAACATTAGAGAAAACCAAGTGGTCTCCTGTTATATCCTGACTTCCCTTTGTCCTAGGTTGAATCTCCAATGAGCCTGTTTTATAACTTTGCTGCTGTTGGCTCAATCTTCACTCTGAAGGCATTTGGGGAGGTAAGATCCCATGTTAACACACATTGTCCCAATCTAGACAAGGTCACTTATTCTGATCCCACTGGGGAATCAACACACCATTTATCCTTTGGTGTGGGTTTGGATATCCTCACGTGAAATGGCCTCCACTGTGAAGAATCAATTTGTTAGAGAGTTAGAATCTTGGTCAGATTGCCAGATCCACAACTCATATCATGGCAGGAAGAATATAAAGGAGAGCTAAGCAGCAACAAAATCAATATACTTGCTGAATCTTTGCCAGGTACATGAATCACAATGTACTCAAGCTTCTCATCCTGTGTGTCAAATAGCCTAGGGCTTCAGCATTGGATTCTGTGGCATTCTAATCTGTAGGGCTAGTCCACACATTTCTTCTTGCATGTAATTGAATTTCTTGTCCACAAAGCCTCTAGTTATTTCATGTTGTCCTAGAGTCCCCATGTTGCCTCTTTCTCTCTGTGCCAGTTATTCTCTAAGCTACAGATTTTTTTATATGAATGTACATGGAATGTACATTTCTCCTTATAACTAAAACCAATGAGGAGAGATACAAAATTCCTAAATGAAATCTGAATTGCAGAATGTCAAGTTCCTACAGAAAAGGATCATATTTCCCTGTTATTTTTATATACAAAGTTCTACATGTTATTCCTTAGATCCTGGTACCTGTAAGACAGAAGAAAATATCATTTGGACCATTTGGTAACATCTCCAAAGTCATCACATTCCATACTCGTGATCATCAGTCTTTTTCTGTTTGAGAGACAGAGTTACAGACAGAGAGGAAGAGACAGAGATTTCCCACCCCTGGTTCATTTCCCAAATGGCCACAATGGCCAGAGGTGGGCCAATCTGAAGCCAGGAACCAGGAACTTGTTTTGACGCTCCCATGTGGGTGAAGGGCCAAGCACTCAGGACATCCCCTGCTGGTTTCCCAGGTGCATTAGCAAGGAGCTGGATTGGAAGTGGAACAGCTAGGACTCAAACCAGGACCCATAGGGGATGTTGGCACTGCAGGCAGCAGCTTTACTGGATACACTACAGCTCCAGCTTCCTGATGATCCATCTTAATGTCGGTACTTCGTCTGAACTACTCTCTGGATTCCCATGTCTATACCAACATGACAGTAAATACTGGAGAAATTCCCACCTCTGCATCTTTTGGCCCCACTCTAAAGTCAAGTCTCTAACATCATCTGAATTTTGACTGTGAGTATACTTGCTGATGTTGATCCCAAATGGAAACTCTATATGTGACTGTAAAGGACCCTGGGTGTCCGGTGAGCCAGGCTGCCCATCTTTGAGGGTCCCAGGATACAGTGAATGTCTGCATGCTTGGAGCAACAAGTTGATCCTGAAAGGGGTTGAGGGCCAGAGAAACAGAAAAGGGATTGTATTTTTTACCATCTACTGAGAGCTTGATTTAGCTGACATTATTCTCTCTCACACAAACATTTTAAAATTCTACATAAGCATTCTATGCTGCACTTTAAATTTCAAATCTCATCACCAATATATGGTGAGCAGCCACCTTGTTATTGTGTAGTACTTGTGGTTTGCTGTTCATATATTCACCCTCCACAGAACCTGAACTGGCTGTCTAATGTTCACTGTATGCCAGGAGAATCACCAGAACAGTTATATTTGCTGTTTGCTTCTGGTTAGTTTCGTTCAGAAAGTAGTATAATGGAGTAACAAAGGAACATATTCAGAGGACAAGGAAGCAAGATTTAGTCAATCACTTCTTAATCAGAGATTTTTGGCAGCAATGGAGAACAGTTGCAATGATCTTTAAAGGTTTTCTGGTGCCTCTGACAAACTTCTTCATGAGATGAGACACAGGGCAAAAATACAAATTTTGCATTTGATTACAAATGTTACTTTACTCACCCATAAACCTGAATTCTCATCTGTATCTCCACATATTAATGGAATTGTGTGAATCTTTCATTCATATCTGCCTATCACTCCTCCTAGTCATTCATCTTATTTCCCAGTTTTAAGTAGAATAATTTCCATATTCTGTCTAGGATCATTCTCATTCCACAGACATGGACATCATTCTCAGAACCACAGACATGATTAGGTAACCCCTGTCTGTGCACTCCTTTACTATTCTTCATCAACCAGAGGTACACAACCTCCCCCTTGATTCTTGGAGATATCACTGGCCTCCCCAGGAGGCATTCTGACCTCCAGTAGCATCATCTTTGGTTTACCCAAGCAGGTTATTTGAAATTCTGCCACATTCTCTTGCCCTGATTACCCTTCACAACACAAATTTAGCCTCTATGTCTCTTCTCTCCCTGCCTCCTCATAACTATCACCAATTAACTCAAGTATAGACCTAGAGAAATTACAGCAAAAATTATACTGTGCTTCATACTGTTTGACATTTGATCATATATGACTTGAGCCCTTTGATAATAGTGTGTGGAATATGCAGGCACCAAAGAGCCTTGACTCTTCTGTTCTGTGCATGACTGTGGCCATATACTTACTTTTTGCCTTTAAATAACTCCCTCTACCAACCACAGATAAGGGTACCTAGCTTACAGTTATTGCTGGTTTGAAATGAAGTTATATAAGCATGTTTCTGAACACAGTGCCTGTAAAGACACCTAGGGCTCAAAATGATTTTTACTGCCTACATTCCAACAGAATGACTAAAATTTATTCATGCATCCATGCCTGTATTTTGTTCTGATTATTGTAAATTATAGAATTTTGTTTAGCCTACTACTTGATAATATCAAGAATGGCTAAGAAGTGGGTGTGATTGTGTATTAATAATATTAAACATTGAGACCATAATAGTGAAAAGCCCACAGCAATAACTCAGTTAACATTTGTTTGATGAAAGAATGGATGGTTAACATTATTTTCCAACCACTTTTTGAATACCAAAAACTTTACTATCATTTCTTTAATACTAACAGTAGCATTGAAAGGCGGACACTTTTTCTCTCATTTTAATAAGATGACATATGTGAACTAGTTTTTCTTAAAGACAAACACTGAAAGCCCATTTCTCTTGGGGATTCTTATTTTTGGGTTGACAAGTGGTTTTGAAAGAAACAAAACTAGTTATCTTTCTGCCTATAAGTGACAAAATTAATTATAATTGTTGAAAAAAATAGTTATTATACGAATTATTCTCAACACTGAGAGTTAAGCTTCTCAATTCATTCACAGTAGTTAGTGTAAACCATGGTATGAGTAAAAAAAAGCAACAGAATTATTTTTCTATGTTTATCTCACAAAAACATTCACTGTAACTCATAATATATAAAAAAGCAACTACAGTTGACTTTTGTAATATATGTGTCACAATGATAATAAATATGTGGCCCAACACAATGGTTAATATCTCTAAGTTTATGCAGCTGTTCTTATTTAAAATGAAAATTTAAATATTAGGGTTATCAAAATAGAAAAAACACCTTTTTTAAAGATTTACTTTATTTATTTGAAAGACAGACTCACAGAAAGAGATCACGGTAGAAAGAGAAAGAGGGGCTTTCATCCCCTGGTTCATTCCTCAGTTGGCCTCAATAGCCAGAGGTGGGCTGAACTGAAGCCAGGAGCTTCTTCTGGGTCTCCAACATGGGTGCAGGGGCCCAAGCACTTGAGCCATCCTTTGCTGATTTCCCAGGTGCATTAGCAGGCAGCTGGATCAAAAGTGGGCACACAAAGCAGCACCCATATGGATGCCAACACTGCAGGCCAGGCTTTCACCCAATGGCCACCCAAAAAATATTTTACTGTTGTTATTATTTTTTAAAAGAAAGAGAAATGTCAGTGCTGTGGCTCACTAGGCTAATCCTCTGCCTGTGGCACCAGCACCCCGGGTTCTAGTCCCAGTTGGGGCACCAGATTCTGTCCCGGTTGCTCCTCTTCCAGTCCAGCTCTCTGCTGTGGCCCAGGAGTGCAGTGGAGGATGGCCCAAGTGCTTGGGCCCTGCACCCTCATGAAAGACCAGGAGGAAGCACCTGGTTCCTGGCTTTGGGTTGGTGCAGTGCTCCGGCCACAACACAACAGCCATAGCGGCCACTTGGGGGGTGAACCATTGGCAAAAGGAAGACCTTTCTCTCTGTCTCTTTCTCTCTGTCTAACTCTGCCTGTCAAAGAAAGAAAGAAAGAACAAAAGAAAGAAAGAAAGAAAAGTGAAAGAGAAAGATGCAGGCAGGGACAACACAGAGGAGAGCTTCCAGTCCCTTTTTCATGCTCTAAATGCCACAAAAATTGAGACTAGACTATGCTGAAACCAGATGCAGAACTGAATCTGAATCTCCCACAAGGGTAACAGAAACCATCTACTTGAACCATAACTGCTACCATCAAAGTATTCATTAGTTATAGGCTGGAATAAAAAGAGGAAATAGGTATTGAACCCAAGATGTAGGCCTTCCAAACAACGTTAACTGATGCTCCATTCGTCTTGATGGTGTGCTTTCTAATGTACAATAGACTTACCATATGAAACTTAAATATCAACTGTCCTTAAATGCATTCCAAACTAAAATGGCAATAAGTTTAGTTTGTGTATTTTTAACTTGCAAGAATTTATTAAGACATATTCTTTATTTTTCAAAATTCCAAGATTTGATCTAGATGTCCATACCTGATATACAGAAAACTGTTTAATGGGAAGATGTAGGAACTTTTTCACTGCAAAGTTTAAGCAATTTATATTTGTTTTGCCACAGTATATGTAAGCCACTATATAACAGGAAAGAAGTACTATTAGCATAAATGAGTATGCCAATAAAAATATTTCATGTATCTACTTCTCCATTTCCCCAAATTATCTATAAATAAGTATGACATCATCTGAACATCTGTGAAAACTTTCACTAAGTTCATTATGTTCTAATTCGCTAAAGCACACATTACAGCCTCATAACATAAGGACATTTTGCTGAAAACATAAGCCATCTTATTGAAGGTGTTATCTAAATTTCTTGGCATCCCTTCTTTACAATATATAATTTATCATCTTTAATTTTGTTCTTAAAAAGTGAAGTTTATCCTATAATATTCAGAAAAATTGGCATACAATTTTCAAATCTACACAATACATGCAAACAAAAGTTAAAAGGATGATAAAATGCCTGAACATAATGATTTGTAAAACTTTCAGAACAAAAGTGCAAAAAAATGGTAGCCACACAAGTAATTAAATTAGTGAGAATTCCATTCTTAGGGCCCTCTTTAGCTATATAAAGCCATTCAATTCTAAATATCAGTATTATAAAAAATAGTAGTTGTAGATATATTTAATAATTACATCATAATCTTTAAAGAGAAAAAAATTACAAACTATAATTCTATTATTACTTATTGAAGAATACTAATTTTATAAAAATATCACAGAACACAACTGATTGTGTCTTATGACCTAGAATTTAGTTAACTTACCAACTCAAAATTGAGACATAATTCTCTTCAACCTCTGTACGTGTCAGTTATAGCTTTGTTCTAAAGCTGAGAAAGGATAGCTATTTTTTTCAGACATTCCAATTATAATAAGAACAAGAGGTTTGCTACTGTGAGTACCCAAAAGGAAGAAAATATCATCTTTCTTTTCAAAATGTCTGGATAGGTGCTTTCTAATGTCCTATTTGTAGTGGATATCCTTACCTTTATATAATAAGTTATATTCTTACAAATATATTAAGAGAGTTTTGTACTCTAGGATATAACATTTTGATAAATATTATATGCTTTCAAGATGGCATTGGAATCTCTGTTAAATATCAATTTTGTTCAATGGCTATTTTCTGGCAGTTCTATCAATATTCATATATTTTGAAGTTTTGCTCATAGGAGCTTTGACATTGGGCCAGTGTTGGGGCACCGTGGGTTATGGCACCACCTAAAGAATCAACCTCCCATATTCAAGCACTAGTTCTAGTACCAGGTACTCTCTCTAATCCAACTCCCTGCTAAAGCACATGGGAAGGAAGGCAATGATGGTCCAAGTACTTGGGACCTGCCACCCCTGGAGGACACCAAAATGGAATTCTGGGCTTCAGTCTAGCCCAGCCTGGCCCATCAAGGCCATTTAAGGTGTGAACCAGTGAATAGAAAATTCGTTTCTCTTTGACTTTCCCGCCAGTCACATGGCCTATCAAATAAAATAAAAATCTTTCTTAAAAGAATACTATGAACTCCTGCTTGATTCTCCCCATTATAACTGAAAAACT